ATGCATGTATATAAATGTGATACTTGGTGACTTTGGTGTCAGTTTATAAGGAAATTGTTAGAAACATGGTACGAGGAAAATTTTGTGAATCAAGTCGGGTAACATTTTCAAGCAGCTGAAATTTCATAAAAAATATTTGATACACCACCGTGTTTAACAACTTTTTAATTGGTTTTCGATCAAGATACTGGAACACATTTTCAGAAAAATTAATGTTACATTCATTTTTATGAAATTTTGAAATCGCAAATCGGAAAAAAGAAGATTGTTATTTTGCTGGTGGGTAGAACTATTTGCATTGATTAATTAGATTTATCAGTTGTTGAATGTCAAATATCAAAGCAGGAAATCGTTTATCAGCCGGGAAATTTAATTTCTCCGAGTTGGTGCTGTGCATCCAAACCATATTCAACTGAAACATTCATGAAACTCGTTTCCCAGTTCCCTAGACAACACTGACCCCGACGAGATATAAGGTTGCAGATTGTTTTTATTTTTCATTTACTTGGCAATTTGTTTTGTTCATGAAGTCAGAATGTGGTAGAATTCGTATGTTGAAATGTCCTGAGTACGGAAAAGTTCCACCCAATTTGAGCCTCTTAATGAAAAAATATAACCTGGAATATATTCATCTGATCCGATAATCAATGCGAGGTTATCAATAATCAATTTGTGGACAAACCTTACTATGAATGCAATTACGTACGTTTAAAGTTGAAACAATATGTTTCTTCACATCTTGGACTTTTGAGGAATAGCCTTCAAATCCATAAAGATGACTAAGAAGAGGTTCGGTCGTCTTTCAGTGTTTTTAAAAATGATGGTCTAAAATATTCATTTTTTCGAATGTATACTTAATCAATTAGTTGAAAATAGATCACATTTATCGATTTTTCTCAAGATAAATTACATATTGCGAAATAAGCGCCATTTGAATCAGTGCACTTTTACCAACGTAACACAAGTCGATTAATACCGTCAGCATTAAAATTGTGTGCTAGGGAGTCAATGAAGTCGACGAAGACCGTTTTGCCTGGTCCTGATCCTGGTCCTCCTTGGGCGTATGTTTTAAGAACAGTTGAATCCATGAATTTGTGGTTCAGCCTAGCACTACCTATGAAACCTATGGCGGGTCGAAACAGCGCTGTGTTGGGTTGGATTACGAATGATTACGTTTCAATTGCTTTCCTTACAGTGAGAGCTGCAGTAAAATACAGATGACGAATCTTGTTCGGAGGTCGATGTGGAAGCTTGGCTTTGCAATGGACCGCCTGGGAGCCTCGTGGATTGAGTCTTCTGTCAATTAAATATAGATAGCGAATTCGTAAGGGAAGATGTCATCGCCTTTACTTCCAATCTAATGTTATTTAATAATTTTTGGTTGTACTTTTTTGAAGAATGAGGAATGAAATCATTGAACAAGTCCTGATAAATTCCTTTTTTTTTCGAGTCCTCACATGTGATAAAAAGTGGATCCGACAACTGTTCTTAAAACATAAGCCCAAGAAAGTAAAGGACATGACATGTAACCTTACGAAGACGTCATGGGATCGACAGAAGACTCAGTCCACGAATATCAAAGATAAGCTCTTTGCTATTACTGGATTGGCTTTTTATCGAGCCTATAGATGGCGTCTTCATTAGAAGAGCTTTCATCTTCTTTATTTTCTGAAGGAATTGAAAGAAATATTGAAAGCGTTAATAATAATACTAATATTTATTCAGTTGGATCATCTATAGATGACATTGAGTATGTCAAAACGTATACAAATACAAAATTAAAGATACAAACTCCGTGCACTTAGAGGCACAATATACAATTTACATAGATAATATAATATATAATAGTTAAAATCTAAAATAATCTCCTATTTATGCAATAGTTATAATCTGTTATTTATGTAACAGCATCGTTATTAAAATCTTCCTGAAATGTTACACATGTACAGGGTTATAGATCATCCATATATTCTTTGAGAGAATAATAGGATTTATCCAGAAGGAACTCTTAGATTTAATAGTTATACTGGTTTAGAGCCAGATTTTGTATTGTAGTTGGAAGTTTATTGTACATTTTAATGGCCATACGCCTGGGACATGATTCATATACATCTAATCTGTGTGTTGGCATTTCCAACTGTAGGGAATTTCTAGTATTATAATTCTTGTTACCATTAAGAGTAGGAAAACTAATTATATGCTATTTTACATATTTTAATATCTCGTAAATGTATATACTTGTAACAGTCAATATTCTGAGATTTTGGAAGATGAGTTTCCAATTTGTCCTTCTAGTAACTCCTGCTATATATCTTATAGACCTTTTTTTGTATTCTGGAACAATCACTAGATGCTCCCCAGGCTATAATACCATAGGAAATGTTACAATGAAAGTATGCATGGTAGTACATTAATAAGAGTGATCTATTTACATTCCAGCGCAGTTGTTAAGACACAAAAATAATGATATTGAGGATATCTTTTTACAAATCGTATCAATATGCTTGTTCCATTTGAGAAGTCTGTTAACTTCAAACCCAAAAATTTTGTCTCCTCTTGTTGTTGAATTCATCCAATAATTGACGTTACCAGTAAACTGTGATCTGGAGTGATTCTTGAATAATTAAAACGTAAAAGCACAGTTTTTCTTTCATTTAACAAGAGACCATTGTCTGAGAACCACTTTTGGGTTGTTTTTATTTCATCAGATGCTTTATTAACTGTGGCTTTAATATTTTCCTGAGTTATCAATAAAGATGTTTCATCAGCATACATAACGAACTGATCACTATAAAAATCATTTACATATATTATATATATAAGAGTGGATGTAATATAGAATCCCGAGGGAACAGTTCTTAGATTCTGTAGATTTTGTACCAGTACACTTCAGATTAGTTTTTTCACGGTTTGCATTTGAAAAATTTTCCCTAACTCTAACATCACGTTACATGTTGAATATGTTAATATTCCAGTTAGTATCACAATGTAGGTAGTTTGTTAGTAATGAACAGATCTAAACACATGCCGGTTTAAGAACGAAATGGAGATAAGATTAAGAATGTTCCGAATCTTTGTGATGAAGATTTCTCAAAGCTTTTCTCTTGTGAGTTTTCTACAATAAAAAGTCCATTGTCTCAATCGCAGAACTCCATGCAAAGTCTTACTTACTCTGTCAAACCTATTTTCCGGGTTTTTGTCCGGCCGTGGTCTGCAGGGTTTTTTGTCTGCCTACAACAGCGGCAGACAAGGCGATCAAGCAAGGAATGCTCTAGTTGTTAGTACATGCTACCAGCGGTAGATTTGCCCCCACAACACATGGTGGTAGTATGAACTATCAAATAGAGGACTTGCAGTGTTGCATCATCGTCTTTGATTATGTCTTCCGCAGTCGTGAAGATACTAACTCTTTTACTAACTTTACAGTCTTCGATGATCAATTTTTTCAGCAGTTCATTCATTGAACCACCAACTTCTCTATTTTTCGTTTGAACACTTATCGTCATTTCATAAGTTTAGACTTTCATTGTCTAATATAATATAAATTGATTTGAAATTCCTGAAAAAATATTAAAAAGGTTGACCGAAAATAACAATTTTATTTGAACAAAAAACTGAAATTACAAAGAAATAACATAAAACCAAACAAAACCAAAAAATTAAAAATAAAAATTAAAAGATTTCAAACCAAGTTATGTCACTACGTTTCGATTGTTAGTATCCACAATCGTCTACGGGTGATAACTGGACTTATTTCTCCGAGATCCGACTATTTATAGGCCATTCGAGTGCTTTCACCTATCCTCTCTTCTCTCTCTCCGCTTCGTTGGTTTTTATCGGGAGATGACCGTTTGGCGAGAGTTGGTCGTTTTTCGTTTGATTAGAGGTTTCCATATGTTACGTATCTCTACGCTAGGTTGACTAAATGCATTTTTGGACAACATATACGCGGCTTCTTTCAATTTTTTCCTAAACCAGTGTTCCTCTTTGTGGATGATTTCAGCTTGAGCCCACTTGATATTATGTTGATGAGCCTAAACATGCTCTGCTATTCCCGATTTGTTGGTTTCTCCTCGCTGTGTGTGTTTCTTGTGCTCAGCAATGCGAACTTTCAATGGCCTCTTAGTTTCACCGATGTATGATTCTCCGCACTCGCAGGGTATCCGGTAAATGCAATCCTTGGAATCGCAGTCCGCGTTTGGTGGCCTGGTTTTCGTGAAGCTGTTACGGATAGTGTTCCCATATCTGAAGCAGGTCCTGATGTTATACTTGGACCCAATCCTTCGTATCGTTTCCGATAATGCTCTGATGTAGGGAAGTTGTGGAGGCTTCTCTTCCTTGTGGAGCTCTTGCTGTCTTCTAGCTAAAGCCTGTTCTATCATTACTCTGGAGTAACCATTCCGTTGAAGGTTGTTTTTGTTGATGCCTAGTCCCCTTTCGAGACCTTTCTTTGTATTACAGAGCCCGAAGGCACGGTCTAGTAGAGTCTTGATGATTCCTCTCTTAGTCGATTGATTGTGGTTGGATTTTTAGTTCAGAAGATTGAGAGGGTTTTCGATATACAGATGTTTCCCATTTAGTATCGGTCCTCTTCACCAATACGTCTAAGAAGGGCAATTCGTTGTGGACTTCCTTTTTCATTGTGAAAGTGATGGAAGGACTTACGTTGTTGATGTGTTTCAGGAAAGTGTCTAGTTCTGCATTCCCATGGTTCCAAATTATGAAGGTGTTGTCTACGTATCACAACCAGACTCGGGGCTTCTTGTGGAGTTCTTTAATGGCCAGAGTTTCAAACCACTTCATATATAAATTTCAAATCAATTTATATTATATTAGACAATGGAAGTCTGAACTGATGAAATACACCACGAAACATTGTCAACCACCTTCAAACAAACTTATCGTCATGATAGCCGGCCTGTCTTCATCATTAAAAAACGTCATCTTATTCACCCATATCGTTAACTTTTATTTGATTTTTTTTTGTATTGATATTCCAGAGAAACTACACCCCCGCACCTTTTAGTGAGGACCCCGGACCGACGAAATTGCGCGAGGAATGTGATTACACTATAAAAATAACGCACACAATGGCAAAAACTGGTTCTGCGCCCAGACCAGTCAGGGTTTACGCCGATGGTGCGTTCGATCTGTTTCACCAGGGACATGCCAAGGTGTTGATGCAGGCCAAAAACGCATTTCCCAATGTTCATTTGATAGTAGGAGGTAGATATTTTTTTGTTTGCTAGGAAATTTGTGATTGGTAATGCCCGAGTCATAATGTGCATGCGTGCCATGGTTTTGAAAAAAAAGCTTCATGTCATCGGTTACTGCTATTTGTTGGGTAACAAAGGGGTGCTTGACAAAATGTGATGTCAAACGATGATTGGTCCCATATATTACAAAGTAATATTCATTATCATATCACATATTAATTCTTTACGAAAAGTTATACCCAAAGTTTGAAACATTCGATCGAATTCGAGAAAGATTTCATGTGGTGAGGAACATAATGTTACATCTACATGTATTTTTTTTGTAAATAACTGACACGCTTCTCAATCAGTGCATTTTAAAACACCTCACGTACCTACTACACCTCATGAAGGGGCCTTACCCTTACATTTACTGTCCAATATTCATCTTACTCTTCGTGTTTCTATCTGCATTGATACTGCATCTGACGAAGTCAACGATGTTCATATAGTAGATCCAATAGCAGGGGAGCCCACGATGCAAAATGGGGATTTACTCGAGCGTCATTGAGACATATTAGGTTGCAAACCTTAGATAATAATAAGACGTCCTATAAGGACATTTTCAAACTTATACAACATATAAGTTTGAAAATGTCCTTATAGGACGAAAGTGCAGTAACGTTAGTTACAAATAAAAGTGGTAAAAAACATAGAAAGTTGCCTCTTTGCTGCTTCAAAATCTTTGTCTTATATTGTGGCCATTTCACATACTTTCGGTTCACTTTCATGGAAAATTACAATCGAGTCGATTTGTAATTTCACAACGAGGTATTTACGATTTGAGCCAATTCGCACTAACAAATAGTATAAAAGTTAAAAATGTATTCAAAAGAGAGGTAGTTGAATAATCAATGAGCTGCCACAATTTTCCTTACAGTTTTTTCCACGTTTCTGGTTAGATTATAACTTCCAGATTGAATAGTCATGCTTTTACTCGTATAATGCCTTGAAACAAATAAAAAAATTATAAAGTAACTTGAAATTCTCTTGTAATGACCTTGACCTTGATATATGAATGGATTTGTTATAATATATTTGGATCTGTGTTTTATGAATCATGCTATGACTTCAATTTCAATAATGTTTCACTATTTCAAAAAGTAACAGAGATTGTTCATAATATAACTACAAAAATGCTGTCTTATCATTCAAATGCAACAGACCAAGTAAACACGAATATTATTATTCGGCCTTGAAGGTTTTTGTTTTGGCGAATTTACTGGGTTATTGAATTTCCAACAAATCTAGGATTCCCTGTTAGTTTATATGTATTATAACTGAGTTGTAGGGAACTGAATAATACTTCAAACTTTTTAAAAAAGTTTTGAATATTTTTGTATGCCAACAGTTTAAAAAAATAATGCCTGAGGTTTCTCCTACTTATTGTGATCATTCATTCCAAGTCTCTAGAATACATTTGCCGATTCATGGACCTATTAAGTTTGTGTACCACTTTCAACAATGTGCTAGCTGTTCTAGTTTCTACATGTCCTTTGTTCGATGCTAAGCTTGTCGCTCACTTGTCCAGCTACAACCAGCATACTGACGGTGCTGTTTGTTCGATTTCAAGGTAATTGACACTTGACATCGAACGGTGACAGAAACATGTCTATCACTAGCAGTTCTGGCGGAGAAGTCATCATTATAGTGGCCGCATTATTGAATGTAGAAGAAAATAGTCACAAAAAAGAATGTTGTGGGTCCATCCCATTAATCGAATGAGGGCAAATCTGGGAGAGTTTCATCATCTTTTCATCGATCTGAAAGAGGAGGAGAAATTTTTCCAGTATTTCCGAATGACTCCCGGCAAATTTTTAGAACTTCTGGATATTCTAGAGTCTGCCTTAACAAGCATCTCAATTTTTCCTCGTCCATTTTCATAGGTACCGTCTGACACCGTGCTGTCAACTGATGGAATAGCAAAATGGAAAGACAGAAACTTCCCAGACACTTTTGGAGAAGTTAATGCTGGCAAGCGCTGACCGGCGACGCGCTCACTTGGCCAGTCCGTCACAACACGTACCGTTATTTGCCGGACAGGATCGGAGAGCTGGAATCCTTTCCGGCGGCGGACGCTCTTGACTGTGCCGTGCCGGGCTAGTGGGCGGTTGTCCATTCACTTTCATTGTTCCAATCCCATCCGTATTTTGACTGGACGGGCCGTGCTGTTCTGTGCCGGACAAAACTTTAACTATATTTTTCATAATTTGTTCTTTCTATGTGTTTTCTACAACCCTGTTTTGTACAAATGTCTTATAAATGGACAGTGTTCGGTGAGTAATCCTGTTATTCTGAGTCGATCCTTGGTACGTTGAAAAAGTTGTGAAGGTAATTTCTGCGGTATAGCTCCTTTACAAACATTTTTTCCGTGGGAAATTGAATGATGACCAAAAGTGGAATCTCTGGAGTAGATTAAACCCGAAACAAGCACTGCTCCCAAATACCAGAACTGCGACACTATTTTTAACACAGTAATTCATATAACGGTAACAGTGGGCTGTTTGGGACCTTTGTCGATGTTCATAGTTCTCATGTACGCTTTGCCAATTCCAAACCTTCGAGAGCATCTGAAAATGTAGTGTCATATACCGACTATTTTGAACAGAGTTCATTCATTCTATGGCAGATCTCTAAAGCATGTTGAGCGACACATCTTTTTGTGTTGTCTGAAATGGGTTATAAGTTACGTGTTCTTTGAAACGAGTTTCAATAGGTCACTTAATCTGACCAATACAAATATATTGATAAATTCTGTCGCCTCAACACCTCTTGGAGAACGGCTATAAAATAAATGAACACTGTCTGAAATTGTTGAGATCGGTAACTTTTGGATGCTCTCGAAAGTCTGTAAATGGTGTGTGGCATGAGAACTACGAACAGTGACTAAGATCCCATTCCAAACAGCCCATATTTTACCCTTATATATATATATATATATCACTCTGTTGGAAATTGCTGGGGACTTTTACGAAAAAATTTCACGCCAATTTCTGCCCAAAATCATTGATGTGTGTCTAAAAATGGAAGTGTACCCCGTTAAATTGGTTAAGGCTTTCGCGAACGAGATTTTCAGTGGTAAGCTTGTAGCCCACTTGTCCGGCACAGCCCAGCACGGCTCTTTCCGTCAAAATACGTATAGGACACAGTGTTAGACGGTACTTATGAGAATGGACGAGAAAAAATTGAGTTGCTTGTTAAGGCAGGTTCTAGAATATCCAGAAGTTCTGAAAATTCTCCTGGAGTTATTCGGAAATACTGGAAAACTTTCTCCTTGTCTTCTTTCAGGTTGTTGAGAAGATGATGAAACTTTTCCAGATTTGCCCTCTTTTGATTAACTATTGTGACTATTTTCTTCTTCATTCAATAATGCGGCCACAATAAAGACGTCAGAACTGCTAGTGATAGACATGTTTCTGCCATAGCTCGATGTCAACTGAAATTTCCCTGAAATCGAATAAACAGCACCTTCAGTATGCTGGTTGTAGCTGGACAATTGGGCGATGCTACTACCCGTTGCCATCAGGCGACGGACAGCGCCGTGCTGAGCTGTTACGGACAAGTGGGCGACAAGCTTCACTATCTTCATCCGTGTTTGAAGGCCGTCGTAGTTTGGAACTGCATCCTAACGTTCGCCAGCACGAGTGGCTGACTTCTTCATAGGTTTATTCATCTTGATGTTTCGCCGATGATGGATGCTGTTTCAAACTACGACGGCCTTCAAAACCGAATGAAGATGGTAACAATGTACTCTGTACCATAGCAGGGAAGCCCATGATGCAAAATGGGGATTTACTCGGACATTTTCAAACTTATATATTGTGTAAGTTTGAAAATCTCCTTATAGGACGAAACTGCAGTAACTAACGTTAGTTACAAATAAAAGTGGTAAAAAACATAGTTTAATTTCTCTTTTCTTCATTATGATTTCCTACCACGTAGTAACGGCTATACCATCAATTATTTGATTAATTAATCATCATCTTCATGACAAACGAGTCTCTGTGATCAGCTGTGATGGCGTCATGGCAACATCATTCAGAGTGGGGACGAAGTGAGAGAGTAATAGATAGAGAAAAAGTGAATAGAGGTATAGAAACTCGGAGAGGGAAATATAGGTATCACACAGCTGCACGCATTGAACTTTATCGACGAATTTTGGTTATTTCGGCTTGCGGAAATCGTCAGATTATATATTTTTCGTTATCCTTGAATTATTTTCTTCAAAACGAAAAAAATTAGCTACGCTCGAGAATGTCGAAATGACGTTATTTTTTTACAACTTTGCTGCCCTCCCCTTTCTTTACGTCACTCTCAAATTGTCAGATTACCGGAATATACACTTTTTAGCAGGTAATTAACTCACCCTATCTTAATCTGACGCGCTCGAGAATTTCTGATGATCATTTTTTTTTACTAATCTGATCCTTTATCCCTCACAGGCGGCCTTATATACGGGGCTCATATTTTGTGGAGGTACTTAACCGGGTACAAGGTATCCCCCTGTATATTAATCTGCCGCGCTTTAGTAAATCCCGAAATCCCCGCTTGGGCTCCTTCCTCTATTACCACATTAGAATAAATCGAGTTCGTCTTCACTTATCGCAAAAAAATTCCATAGATTACTCTCTGTACAATATTTTGCCCCAAGATTTCAAAGAACACAGTCTGAATACTTACAAGAGAAAATTTAAAAATTATTTGTTAAGGCATTGCTTCTATTCTGTCGATGACTTCAGAACACATTTTTTTGGTAGCACACAAGTCAGTATTTCTTTTTGATTTTCAGAGTTTTTATATATGTGATTGTTGTTATTTGCTTGTACATTTTAATTGTAAACCTACACATGACTTGCTGCAAACATATAATATTATGTAGGTAACGTAGTTAAATAAATATCATTATTATTATTATACTCAATACTCACTGATATGAGTTGTGAAAATATAATTTCAATAAACTAAATAACTTCTGAGAATTATTTTAAACTCAATTAAGATACTGTCATCCTGTCTATTTTTGGAATATGTTACTTCAAGATTCTGAATAAGCAAACAACGTTTTCGCTGTTTATTACGGCTTGATATTCAGACAAACATAAAATCATTCCCAGAGGAAATTTCCTTTAATACAATCTTCAAAATAGTCTGTTTACTCTGTGCTAGTATTTTTTTAATGCAGCCGAGTGCGAATACTATTGTTATTCTGAAAGATCTATTTTGAGAAATCAGTGAATGATTTATAAATAATACGATAGGTGGTATGATGTAGGGTTTGCCGATGAACTGTGGCGTGAGGATCACAGCATATTTGACGTCACATAATGGAGGGGCAAAAACGTGCAGAAACCGTTGATTACTGTACAAATCATTTTAGAATGATTGTGCAAAACTATAATCATTTTCTACGGAAGTGAAATTGATATTCAGTGTTCGTTTTTTCATCCTTAAATCAAATGTGAAGGTTTAGCTACACTGTCTGTTCAAAAAATAAGGTGAAATATAATTTTTCTCAAAAAATGTTCGTTCATGCATCAATTTCTATTTTATTCCCTTCAAAGAAGTCCTCTTCAGTTATAATACGCGTGTGCTTCGAAGCAGTTCCCTCACCCATTGGTTTTATCTCCTCAATCGTCGCAAAACGCCGTCCTTTCATGGGTCTCTTCAATCTTGAGAACAGGAAAAAGTCGCAGGGTGCCAAATCTGGGGAATACGGCGGCTAAGGCATGATTACGGTGTTGGCCAAATGATTATAAACAATAAATGACGAGTGATGAGCAGCTGCGTTATCGTGATGCGAAAGCCATAAATTGTTTTCCATAATACCCAACATTTTCTTCATATTGCTTCTCGCAAGCGGCGCGTGACTGCATGAAAATAATAATGATGATAACTTTATTCGTCTTTTCGATCATTTACATGATATAAGACATGTCATAAATAAAAAATGTAAAAATTATTTTAAAAAATGATGATGGTCCACAGTATAACATAGATCGGACACTTAAGACAGGTACTTCACTACATACATATATAAAAGTAAATTAATCTTTAACTAGGGTGAAAGAAATGTAGTGCGTTTACGCAGCTATTTTTATCAAGTACTCTCTTGGTTTTTTCTCATTTTGTCTTCAATCGAGGACCGTCTGCCCGGTACTGACGATGCCCAATAGGCTGAAACAGCTGTATACCGGTGGCTCTTAAATTGAAATCAATATGGGAATGATCAAAAAGTACTTATCTTTTTGTTAAAACACGTATTGCCCCCAAAAAAGAACCCCACATTGATATATTTTGAGTCATGAATAGTAAACAGTCCTGACACCATATGAACTAAGCATGGGGCTCCCAAGACAAGATTTACGAGAGTTGGATGATGTTGAGTTACACTGTTTTCCTTAACGCGAAGCTTAAATGGACTGCTTTACTTTCATTCAGTTTTAGTTGATTCTATAACACCAAGAAATCATGTCATCCATGACATGACCATGGTCAGCAATTTGAGAAAACATATTGAAACCGTGACCATATTTTCTGAATAATAAATAAAATTTGAAACAATTCATCAATTTCTTATCACCAGTTAGAATTTGAAAAAGTTAATCAAAAGAGGGTTATCGAGGAAATCTTATTGAATAAACATTGACATATATCTGCGTGTTCGAACTGCAAGCAGGATATTAATCTGACCGAAATTTCAGTATGCAGCGACAGGCTGATCAACAAGCACAAGGGTCGGACCGTCCTAAAGGAAGAAGAGCGGTACAACGCTGTTCAACACTGCCGGTACGTAGACGAGGTGCTACGCGACGCCCCCTGGTCCTATTCCGACGAATTTCTGGAGAAGAACAAAATCGACTTTGTCGCCCACGACGACATACCGTACGCGTGCGGAGACACTGAAGATATCTACGCCGATTTGAAGAAACGCGGAATGTTCCTGGCTACGCGGAGGACGGAAGGAGTGTCTACGTCCGACATTGTGGCCAGGATCGTCCGGGACTACGACGTCTACGTCAGACGGAATCTAGCCAGAGGATATTCGGCCAAAGATCTCAACGTTTCGTTCCTGAAGGAGAAGAAGTTCAGGTTGCAGAACAAGATGCACGAGCTGAAGCATAAAGGGAAGAACCTGATCGACTCGATCGGCGAAAGAACCGACGGGGTTATCTCTCTTTGGGAGGGGAAATCTAGGGAGATCGTCGATAGCTTTCTTTTGTATTTCTTTCAGAAACCGATGATAATGTGGAACAATTCCAAAGATAGGATTATGAACGCTATTGCTTCCGACCATTCCTCTAGCGAAGACGAAGAAAAGGTGCCTGCCAAAAGAAACAGGGTCAAGTAAAATGAAGGAAATATTATGTTGTTTCAAAATGTATGTCCTGTTCAAGAATTATTTATTTATATTATATTTTCATAATATATTGAACAGTTTTTTCACTTGGAGTATTATTTTTTATTTTGTTTATTGAATGTGGTCGCTTTTTTTTGGTTTCTTGTTTATATCCTCAATTGAAATTTGTAGGTTTGTTACTTGGCCATTGCTTTCAGTAAAGATTATAATTGATGAAAGGTAACCAAAACAATGAAATATACAAAACTACTATAAAACATGAAAGTTTACAATACAATGTGCATTCAGTACAATATTTACAAAATTACCAGATTTTGAAAAAGTGCAGTATCACCCTCAAAAAGTAGTAAAAAAAAGGGTGTTGAAAATAGGTAATAACAACTATCCAGGTGGTATTCGTAGAAATATAACACATACCTATTTTGGTTGTAGTACTGTGAATTGTTACATGTGTCGATAATTTCGAATTTTCAGGAGAGACAAATTATCATCAAAGTGAAAAATAAAACATTATTCCGGAATAGTCCATTCTCCGCAAATTTTATTAGCTCTCACTAATCTATACTAAATCTTGAGATTATACAAATTGATATACCAAATAATTGGTACCTATGAGTACTTACTACCTATATAAATACTGGATCATCAATATAATACCAACACCGCTTCTACTTACCAGAACTGCAACTATCTTCTCGACGCGCGTGTCATTAACCAAGTTGGCGTTATCTGGAAATGAACCTACCAGCCTACTAGCCGGATTTTGTTCTATTCATTCGTTTTTCAAGCTTGTTTGTTATCTGCAATTCTTTTGGAAAAATATACCTCTGTTCATTTCTGTTCGTCAAGGACACAAACGCATGTATCAGCCTCGACGAAATCCATTTTGAAGATGGCGTTTAGCAACTATTTAGTTGCCCGTGTCCATTTGGAACCGAAATTAAAGAGTTCAGTTTCAAAAGAAAGCTGTTGAAATTTCATGAAATTCTACTCATAAGTTTGTGAGTTATAATAATAATATATTTATTTCAAATAGGCATCCTAATATAAAAAAACATTTTAAAATTGGATAGACAAAGTCACAGTCCAACTTCATAACACTAAAATATGTAGGATCAGAAGAATTATCCAAGCATTCAATAAATAGAAAAAATAACAATGTAAATCCCAAATACTAGATATATATGTTATTATAATATCAATGTTATGTGGATGTTATATCTTCAAATGACTAGTAAGTCCTTTTTCGAATGTCATAATAGATTCACTTTGTTTTATCTCAAGCGGGAGGTTATTGTAGTCCAATAATAGTCCTATTTGGAATAAGGAGTTCTTGGATCCTTTAAAGTTTAAACGTGGTACATATAAATTGAATTCCCCTTAGTGGGGTAATTATGAATTTGGAGATGGAAAACAATGAATTGGCAAAATATGGGGGTACATTACCAGACAATATTTTGAAGATGAATACCATGGTAAGATAAAACAGACGGTCTTTCACAGAAAGACGGATATAATTGAAATGTTTTTTCATATTCGGTGTTTGATCCACGATAAACCCCAAATATTTGAATTCCTCGACAATTTCAATGTTTGATTGTAAATATTTATACTTATAGATATTTTGTCAATTGAATTATGTTTATGTTTTGTTGTAATTATCATTACTTTCGTTTCATTGACATTGAGCTTGAGCTTATTAATGTTGAGGAATTCAGTATTATGATCATAATATTATTAATTTTATTGATTGCAGTGCAATCAGAGTATCATCTGCAAATAGGTTGATGAATTTACATCCATTAATGAAGTTGATGTCATTAATATAAAGAACAAACAGAAGCGGACCCAAGACACTATCTTGAAGTACACCATTATTGACATATTTTTAGGTTTGAATATGTCTCGTTAATTTTGGTCTGTTGAGTTCGACCAGAGCGGTAGCTTTCAAACCATTCAAGTACTGAACCAGAGATTCCATAATATTTGAGTTTTTTTAGTAGGATATTTATGTCAATTGTCTCAAATGCCCTTTTAAAATCAAGAAACACTGTCACTATCTATTCATTATCATCAACAGCAAGATTCCATTTGGATATTGAAACTTGTAATGCATTAAAAATCCATAAAGTTGCGTGAGTTAGCTGACATTGTAAAGATTTTAAAAAACGTGTTGGCTTTATATTGCATGAGAATTTGACTATGAGGAAGCTCTGTTCAAAGTGGGCGCCGCGAAGGTCACTGTTGACCAAAAACAAGAACGTCTTAATGATTTTAAGCAGTGTTTTGGCCATAGTAAAAATCAACCAAAAAGTCCACTCCCACTTCTTTCATTCATAAATTCACTCGGTGACCTCGAAACGAAGTGCGGAGGCAATTTCGTTCTTTTACCATAGGCGTGAGCTCTTATAAAATCGAAATTCAAGGATATTATAGAAGATTTTGTGGTAAGTTGCTTATAACTAAAACTAAAAACAATAATAACAACAGCGAATAAACTAAACACAATCAATTTCCGACCATTTATTATGACAAATCCGATTCCCGTACTACCTTCGAATCCTTTGCTACTACAGCACTGAACGCGTTGGATGAGAATCTCATCCTAAGAGCGGTTAATCTACCCATCTTTGTGAAGAATTTATTTTGAAGTTAATTGTTTTTTTTTCATCCTTTGGTAATTTTTCCCACAAGTTTTTGCATAAAGATGGAGAAGATGAAACCAAAAAGCTTTTTTCCCACAAACGAGTCTATTCTCAAAATATACTGTTTCGACTTATAAATTGACACTTCAGAGAAAAAAAACTTGGAAACCGAATTCAACATTATTAGTGTTCATTGTAACACTTTCTTCGACGAACTTGTTTATATAATTCATATAAAGACTCTCGCATTTTCTATTCTGAACACGTACTTCAGGTTATTTACCTTTACATTGCCGGTCCGATATCATGCATAGTTTCTATAAAGGGTCTACTGCAAGGAAACAATTAGAAAATATTCCTTTTGTTCCAGTACAGGGAAATATCGTGATATAATATTTTCTCGGTTTCTTTGATTCAAGAACCAATTGTTATATCCGATTCGGAGTTTTTTTTTTGAGAAAACCGATTCTTGGGTTACTTTCACCCCAATCCAAAATCACCTCTAGATCCTGATTAGGATATGCAACCTCCTGCTGCAGGTGAAGATGTGCATCTGTAGTAATTTATCATGTATTATTAACTTGGAAATTTACGCCATTTACGAAATTTACGCCTCCCTTGCAAAGGAGGGTGCTGCAAGCAGCTTCATCGGACCAGAACGTGCCATTGGCATCGCTCTGGGATTTGCCAAACAAAATTTGAACAGCTGAATGGCAAATAGATTTATGGACTTCTGGAAGAATCTTCCAGGATTGGCTCACTGCAAGGCGTTTATTCACCCTTCGAAGCTTGATACCAAACAGTTGTTGGACTACAGTAGGGATGAACTACGATGTCTAACAGGCCTACTTACAGGTCACTGTCATTTAAATCATCATATGCAGAGACTCGGACTGTCGGAAGACAGTGTGTGTCGCCTCTGTTTGGAAAATTATGAAACAGCAGAGCACATACTTTGTGCCCCTGCTCCGCTGGGGACCGAATCAAGTTTTTAGAGTTCGACAGAGCCGTATATACTCTTACCATCTGACCTGAAAGACCACTCACCATACAAA